AAACCCCAAAACCCCAAAACCCCAAAACCCCAAAACCCCAAAACCCCATAAGATAGTCTATCCTGGAAAAAGTGGTTTTTTATAAATATAAATTACTTTATTACTTTACTGTATAATAGAGGCAGAATAATCTTAATGAATGTAATTGACTGGTATTATTTCAAAGATTTCCTTTTGCCTAACCTCATATTTTCTTGAGAACAGCTACCTTGATTTAATTCGCCTATTAATGTTCATACTAGGCTTATTGTTTATGATAATCTTATTATGGTTGAAAACTGTAAAACTTTTTTAAGCCCCTTTTCTTTTTTATACTGTACCATTATTCAAGATGGATATTGGTTTCAGGTATGTATAAATTACTTGTGATATTTTGTAGGAGTTTTATCAGCTTTTCATTATTGTATGATTGCTTAATCGACATAGGCATATAATCTGAGCCATATCATGTAATTAGTAATCGTTATAAATCGAAGTCAATTATAGCCTAATTTTTGTTATATACATCTTTCTCCTTATTGCTCTATTAAAATTATTTTGACTTTAATTCTTGTATTAATTGACCTCTGTCTTTCCTTTTTAAACTTATGGTTTCTTCTAATTATTACTACTCTCTTCTATCGATATCAAGTAATTAGAGTACTTGATCAGTTTCTAGGAGACCTCAACGAGCATATGGCTTTTCCAACATGTGTTTCACATGTTCAGAGCAGTACATTACCATTTTAATTTTAGATTCCTCAAAACTCCTCACTTTGGCCTTAATTTCTTAATTCTAACACTCCTATAGCTTTATTAATCTCCTATCTTTGCTATGCTTTGTTGAATCCACACTTACTTATCTAAAAGAGTTTTTTTCATCTTATAATGACGAAAGAAAATTTTAGGATACCAAAAACAGTAAGTCCCCTTGTTTTTTTAAGATCTAACTGATGTTTATTGGCGAAGTATCAGAAAAATGTAATTTTGTAGACATGTAAATGCCCTGAGGCATTATGTCAATCTGTAAATCGAGGATAATAGGCCCGAAGATAATTGTTACTACTTCTTCAGTAAAAAGTTCAGCCATACTTTTCCAAGGCCAGTATACACATTATGTCAATCTTCTTTGAGGGTGATAGCTTATGTCAGATTGCTTTACATGGGTTGTGAGCTTTTAATTATACTTGATATTTTACTTTTTAATAATATAATCATGTTTATAATATAATTGACTTACAAAAATTTAATCTTTATGTATACTTATGACTATCATTTTACGTTTCTTGGGGTTTTGGGGTTTTGGGG